ATACGGTTGCATTATTTTCCAAATAAATATAAGTGTCACTGTGATTTGCTCCGTTTGTTGAGTTCGCTGAAGTTCTGTGATTTGAAGTGCCTCTATCACAGAATAGTTATACCATTCTATCCTGGAAGGAATTAATCTGTATACCTTGGGAAACAGTGAGGGGATTAAATTCCTTAAGGACACACTGTGCATTCAGTGGGCTCGGAATTATTTTACGATTTGTTTATTGAACTAACTTTTGTTTGCTTCACTGATTTTCTGATTTTGAATACAGTAATACCAAAAATTTTAAGGAATTTAATCCCCTCCTAGTACCCAAGGTTATGGATTATTTTCTCTCAGGATAAAACGAGTTACACACTGGTGTAGTGGTACTTCAAACCCCAATGTTTCAGCGAACACAAAGTTCGGTAGCAAAATCACACTTACTATTGCTTTGTTTGATGCTAAAAGTATGCAGAAGAAGGAGGAGAAGCTGAGAAAATCATAGTGAAATTCTGAGCAGAATAGCGTTGTATTTATAGCCAAAGTTGGGCTGAAATCTGAAGAGGTACAACTCTTTAGAATAGTTGTTTCTGCAAAACGGCCACAGCATAAATGACATTACATAAATGGGTATTTACTCAACAATAAAAAGGAAAAATTGAAGAGGGTAGTTAAATGTTACCAAAATAGAAAAACGGATTGGATTTAATATTAATATTCTGTTATTAAAATAAATATTTAATGACATTTTTGTTAATATTTTACTATTAACAAATAAATTTGGTCCAAAAAGTTAATCAATCAATCGATCATTTGACCAAACCCAAATCCAAATCCGAAGCTGAAGCCGAGTGAGCGACGACGACGACGACGACGCAAGGCTTGCCTTCTTCTCAACTCTTTAAGAGCTAGAAGAAGAGCAATTGCTTATATACCCATAAAAAACTTCTGCCTCTTCCAATATGGGACAATGTCCATTTACCAAGGGGGGGAACTTAAAATTTCACTTAAAATTTTCATTTCCCTCCATTTCCCATTCACCCTCTTTTAAGTATTTAATATATTAATTAAATAAATAAAAAAACATCAATCCCCCATATGAATGTGGAATGGCTATATCACGGAAGTATATTTATAAAATTGTCAATGATATACCAATAACACATTAGAATCTAACGCAATCAACTGGTCCAGTGGAAGTACCTTGGTAGAGGAAGAGATAACAAATGATGAATGCCTTTTTGATAAGTTCTGATTTACCCCAGAACTTGTATGGGGAAAGTTATTCTTACAGATAAACGTATACTCAGTCGAGTTCCCCATAGCAAGACGCAATCCATTCCATATGAAAAATGGAACTGAAGAAAGCCCAACTTAAATATTTTAAAATATGGGGGTACTTAGCTAAAGTGCAAGTTCCTAAACCCAAAAGGGTAAAGATCGGACTGGAAATTATTGATTGCGTTTTCATAGGATATGCAACAAATAGTAAGGCATATCATTTCTGGTTCATAAATCAAAAAATCCAGAATTCGTATTAATACGGTAATTGAATCAGATAATATTGAATTCTTTGAGAATATCTATCCGTATAAAAGGAATGTGAGTCGTCTAGTGAAATATCTAAGCGACCTCGTGAAGAAGAAAAGGAAAGTACACCTAATGAGGTGAATCCAAAACGTAGTAAACATCAAAAGATAACTACTTTCTTTGGACCAGATTTTCTGACATTCTTGTTAGAAAGTGAGCCTCAAACATTTAAAGAATCAATGTCTTGCTCGAAAACACAATGTTAGAAAGAGGTAGTCAATAGTGAGATAGAACCCATAGGAAGTAATCATACTTGGGAATTGGTTGATCTTCCTCCAAATAAACCTTTGGGTTCTAAGTGGATTTTCAGAAGGAAAATAAAAGCTGATAGTACTATTGACAAATATAAGGCAAGATTGATTACCAAAAGATTAAGACAACGAGAAGGTCTTGATTACTTTGACACATACTCACCAGTAACGAGGATTACATCTACTCGGGTGTTAATAGCGTTAGTCGTCGTTTATGGACTAGAAATTCATCAGATGGACGTAAAGACAACCTTCTTAAATGGAGATTTGGAGGAAGAAATTTATATGGAACAACCTAAAGGGTTCGTGGTTCCTGAAAAAAAAAGGTATGTCGACTTGTTAAGTCAATTTACGGACTAAAACATGCATCCAAACAATGGCATGTGAAATTTGACTAGAAAATATTGTCAAATAATTTCAAACTAGTGTATTTACATTAAGAATACTATAAATTATGTAGTCATTGTTTGGTTATATATGGATTATATGTTGATAGAAAAGGCACATAAAACATGTGAAATGTGGGGGCATTTAGCTTATGCATAACAAAATCTAATGTTAGATGTGATGTCTATAGTATTTCGAAGAACAAGATGATATGATTCTTCGAACACCACGAATCATTAATGATATTGATATGGTAGTCGGTGAATTCATTACTTGTTCAGTATTAGTGATGACTAGTGATGAAACTACAAATTCGAAAGTTGTTTACGTGCCTTTACAGAAATGATTTGTTCTTTCTTGAACATTTATAATGTTTAGCTCTTTTATGAAAGGTGTCACCTGGAAGATTGCGATTTTTCATAAAAAGTGTGTTTGTATGTTTTGTATGAACATGACCATTCATGAATGAACATATTAATACGTTGGTCTATAATGAGGTGAACCAACCGATGAACATGACCAAAATCCTTGAAAGTTGGATTTGTTTCATAAATGAAGGTGCTATAATTTGCATATAATATATAAGTATGAATAAATAGCATACAAATGCTTGAAAATGGCAGAGTGATTGTGAATGTGTTATATATTAAAAGGTTGTGGCACAACTAATGCCGATCATTCTTGTTGTTGTTATAATATATTATTGCTACATTAAGTGTATTCAATAATCTGATATGCAATCGAAAGTCGAGACGTATTATTCTACAACATAAGAAAGTTTGCACTAAAATTTCATGACAATGAAACGAGTTTTAAAGTATTTGAAATGTACTCCAAATTATGTTTTGCACTACAATAAGTATATCGAGCTAGTAAAGGGGTATAGTGATGCAAATTAGATCACTGGTTCAACCGATTCTAAATAGTCGGTGGAGGAGCGATGTCTTGGAAATCATCCAAACAAATGTGCATTGACCGCTCTACAGTGGAGGCTGAGTTTATAGCCTTAGATAAGGCCGGTGAAGAAGCTGAATGGCTCCGGAATTTCTTGAAAGATATTCTATTTTTGCCCAAACCTTTGACACTTATATGTATATATTGTGATAGTCAAGCGGCAATAGGCAGGGCAAGGAGCGTTATGTATAACGGAAAATCTCATCACATTCGACGGAGACACAATACAGTTAGACAACTACTCTCTAGTGGTGTTATCATGATTGACTACGTAAAGTCAAGAGATAATGTATTGGATCCACTTACAAAAGGCCTATCTAGAGAGGCAGTTGAAAGATCATCAAAGGGTAAGTCATAGGACAAGTCATCATGGCGGTAACTCTACCTAGCAGACTGGAGATCCCAAGAGCTAGGTTCAAAGACATCAAACAAAGTTATGAATGACGGTTCAACATTGTCAAATAACTCAACTCATTCTCGTGATGAAGACAATGTTTAGAAATCAAGGTAAAGCATTAAGGCTTTTTGATGAGTCAATAAAGCTTAAAGCTTTTTAATGATTTGCTAAGTCTGGCAGGATATGACCAAATAGTGTGTCTATAAGATTACACGTTTAGAAATTACCTATGTGAGTGTGAAGTGTAAGCCACTTTAAGGGGAATGAAAGTAAAGGCCCATTCTCTAAGCACTGATGAAACCAGGCGGTGTTCATGGCTGAAACGAACACAACCGTGAGAACCAAAGATGGTTAAGGATTGATTGTGTGTCTTATGGTTGTCTAGATATACACCAAAGCTCAACGATTCAAAGATATCAAATATACCGATTGACCGAGTATATCCGACATAAGTTCACTACGAAAAGTTCAAAGGGAAACCTACTTACCTAGATGTGATTAATCCTTACTTGCGAATCACACAGTATTTTCATGCATGTTTTTTACATATGTCCATTCCTCATTCATATGGGGGATTGTTGCGTTTTTATTAGGAGGTGTGAATGGGAAATGGAAGAGGTACCCCTTGGGTTGCACCTCTTCATCTCACCCTTTCATTGTCTATTAATTTAGAGGCTTGGCTTCATTTTTAATAGATGGAAAATCTGAAAACTTCTCCCCTCTTTTTATATTGTAGCATTATTTTCCAAATAAATATAAGTGTCAAGTGTGATTTGCTCCGTTTGTTGAGTTCACTGAAGTTCTGTGATTTGAAGTGCCGCTATCACAAAATAGTTATACTGTTCTATCCTGGGAGGAATTAATCCGTATACCTTGGGCAACAGTAAGGGGATTAAATTCCTTAAGGACACACTGTGCATTCAATGGGCTCGGAATTATTTTACGATTTGTTTATTGAACTAACTTTTGTTTGCTTCTTTGATTTTTTGATTTTGAATACAGTAATACCAACAATTTAGTCTATGACTATCCTCTAATGCAACCAAAATTTAGTTGCATTAGAGTTTTTATCCTTGATGTAATGGTAGAGTTGTTGTAGTAAGGAAGCTAGTCGTATAGTTGTAGATAGAGTTTATGAGTTTGGTGTGGTCCGTACTATTTTTTTTTTTGTTTTGTAAAGTTCAATTGGTATATAAAATTTTACTTACCAAAATAAATATCTAATATCATGAATATACGTTACGAAAAAATTACTATTCTGGATTATCTCCTGTATCTGATTATCAAGATCTTATGATATGAAATATATGGTAAATGGCTTGCCCTTGCTAAAGCTTACTCAAAATATTTTCCAACATAAAACAAAAAGAAAAGGAAAAGATGAACTTTTATTCTTAGAATTGATCATGTACATGCATCAAGTTGTCAATTATCCATCAATTCAACTTCACTATGGAGTATACTTCTACATGCTATATATAATATAGATCGAAGTTCCATGCGCCATATTTGATGCCTTCTTATCCCACCCTGATAATCATAGAACAATATACTCAGTGGCGGATGTGACATATATATAATTAATAATTTAATTGAATTTAATATTTTGGATAAAGAGTATATATATAATTACTTACTTGACGTAGTCAATCTTAATAATATTTTCGACAGTGACTGGAGTAGCAATGATTGAAAAGGCTTCTTTAGAGAGATCCATGGTTACACCACATCCAGGGCAATCACTTACCATTTTTACTACAACACTCTTGCCAGTGCAAGGTTGTGGCACTGGACCAGTGCATGTGACCTTTAATAATGTTCCACAATTAAAATCAAGCCCGAGACGATCACTCGCTGCTAAGAGGGTGCCTTGGGTTGTGTTTCCATAACATGTCGTAGCTGTAATAACAATAATATTTGTCCATCAGTATCAAATAAGTTCGAACATATGGTCTAACAAAATTTTAAGAGAGTAACAAAAAAGAATAGAAGAAACTTACTAGCATGTGATAAGTTGTAATAAAATGAGGCAGTCCCTGGTATAGCCAAAGCTATTGAAAACAAAGTTGACACAACACCAATAATGAGACAAATAGTTTTAGGAATTGCCATTTCTTTTCCAAAGCCTTTTTTATTTCACTGATACATCTACCCAACCAGTAATCACCACCTTTTTATAATCTTTTCTAAGTGACCATGGGCTAAAATATGGTAACCAGTTAAGAGAATTAAGGCAATCTTTTTTTTTAGCCAAAAGATCCACCTTGCTGGTGGGTTTTAGGAATATCAATTATTGTGCATTTCCTATCATACTATATTCATATGCATTGTAATATTTTCATCTGGTATCCAAATGAGTTAGTGATGGATTGATAAGTACCCTTTTATCCTTAAATCAAAGGTTTCGGGTTCGATCTTGTGTATGGAGTCTCTTATGATAAGAAACGCTTTATCCTCTAATCAGTATTTTAAAAGGCGAGGGCATAAGACGGGATATTTTACTTAATATGGGGCGAAGCAAAAACTTCGAGACATGGGGCGTAAGTCCCATGGATATTTAATTTTTATAATTTTTGAATGAATAATATATTATTATAACAAAAAAAAATTAAAAGATACATTAAAAGTTCATAAAACTAAAAAGAATTAAAGAAATACATATAAAAAAAAAATCTAGCATGTTTTACAAAACACATATAAAATAAAACATTTAGCACGTTTTACAAATATAAATAATGCAATACTGTTAAAATTACTATGAAATATAAATTTACTAAAATGTCTCAACTTTCAAACGATTAAAAGTCATAATTTCTTAAAAAATATTGTCAAACTGCATATTTTACTTCCTTAAAAGTAAATACTCAATAAATTCTATCAATACTGTAATTTAAAATATTACTCATTCATGAGACAGAACTAAGATATGAAGATCTATCAAATAAAGATATAAATTTTGTTTATTTATTTTCAAAAGAAATGTTCAAATGATATTCACCTTCATGATGTTCTCAGTTAGTAAATATGCAATAATATGGTTTGTTATGTGAGTTATTCACATTTTTCATATTCCTATAGACAAAAAGAACTTTAATAATTATTTATTGAAGACTTTTGAGAGTCAACCGTGCTAATTATTGAATTCAACACATGATTTGCATAGGAACTGTGAGGCAAGTCCCGAGCGTTGAGAATTAGGTATGTTTAGGGCGTAAATCTCACAGAACAAAGCCCCACATATGAGTCTCAAGGCATTTTAATAGTGATATGCTAAATTCAACATGTTCGCAGCCTACTCAAATGGGAGACGCCAGCTCAGCTAAAGCAGTTAGTTAGTTATGCCAAGTCAGCTGAAAGTTAGTTAGGAAGTTAGTTGACAAAAGTTAGTTAGAACTAGGGGCGTTCATAAAATCCGAAAACCCGAACCAAACCGACCAGAAAAACCAATACTCTTTGGTTTGGTTTGGTTTTGGTTTTGAAATTTAAAAACCGATCAAATTTGGTTTGGTTTTGGTTTTAATTAAAAATAAATTGAACCAAACCAAATATAGGAGTATCTATTTTTAATTTATTATTACACATATATATATATATATATATATATATATATATATATNTTAATCATTTAGTAAATAGGAGTATCTATACTTTTATACAAAGTTTTAAAAAATTTATAGTAAATATTAATCATTTACACTTTTAGTACAGTTCTTTACCTTTACATTCTAGTTTAATTGGTAGTTTTCTTTTGTTACGTGTAAGAATCTATTTCATGTTAAAAATAATATATTTTTAATTGAGTCCTTAAATTATTCATCACTATTTGATTCAATTATCAAATATATATCTTGGTAAATAGTAGATTTCTCAAAGGGCAATTGATTTGATAGTGTTATGTTAAAAATGTGGTCGTCGAAATATGTGTTTGGTAGTGTATGCCTTATATTTAAGAAAAAATCGACAAATAACCAAAAAAACTAAAAAACTGACATAAACCGAATCGAGAAAAAACTGACTTAATTGGTTTGGTTTGGTTCTAATATTTGAAAAACCGACTTACTTGGTTTGGTTTCTTTTTAGGGAAAAACCGATCCAAACCGAACCATGAACACCCCTAGTTAGAACAGTTAGTTGGAGAAAGGAAGCTTCCAGATAAATGAGTCATATATTCATTCATAAAAGGACTACAATGTATCATTTACAATCATCAAATGAAATATAATTACAATCCTCTTTCCTCTCAATTACAATTTTTGCATTTCATAAGCTGTAATCTTCGAGTTTCTCCACCAAACTCCTAGCTCACCTCTTCAATTCTTGAGTTCTCTGTGAATTCCTGTGATTGAGATATCAGTGATATCAGAGCAGACTTTTTCTTGGCACGAAAATGACGAAGGGAACAAGATCAAACGAGAGTTTTTCGACGGAAGTAGGAGAATTGCGCGAGTTAATGGAGAAGATGATTTATGATATTGGAGCTCTTGCTAGAGAAGTGTCTAGCCTTAAGAGGTTAGATCAGAAGGTGCAAGATTTTCAATAACACATGGCAACTTCAAAGGAAAATCAAAGGGATAAGAGTCAACTGCAACAGGAGGAAGAACTATTCGATGGAAGGCCTCAAAGAGACAAGAGCACTGCCAATTGCAATCATCATAATTCAAACTTTAATAGGTGATCTCTAATGGAATTTTTGAGATTTTCAGGTGAAGACTTAAAGTCATGGCTGTTTAAGATTGAATAATTCTTCTTCGTGGAAAAGGTTGCGGCTGAAGAAAAAATAGAAGTGGCTGCAATGCAATTGGAAGGAGAAGCTATTCAGTGGCATTTAGCCTACATGAGGTATAGACAGTACCTCCAACCTGCTACGTGGATTGAGTATGTAGTGGCTTTGGTGGAAAGATTTGGGGTGGATTTTGATGATCCTATGGAGGAGCTCAAGAAGGTTAAACAGACGGGTAGTGTGAAAGAGTACCAAGCTGTGTTTGAAAGGCATCTCACAAGGGTAAACCTATCTGGAAAAAATGCCATCAGTTGTTTTCTTGGTGGTTTGAAGCATGAATTGAATATTTCTGTGAAGCTTACCCATCCTAAGACTTTGTTACAAGTCTACAAGAATTTTGTGTGAAGGAGTACCAAACTGTGTTTGAAAAGCATCTCACAAGGGTAAACCTATCTGAAGAAAATGCCATCAGTTGTTTTCTTGGTAGTTTGAAGCATGAATTGAATATTCATTTGAAAATTTCTCATCCTAAGACTTTGTTACAAGTCTACAAGCTTGGTAGTGTGAAGGAGTACCAAGATGTGTTTGAAAGGCATCTCACAAGGGTAAATCTATCCGAAGAAAATGCCATCAGTTGTTTTCTTGGTGGTTTGAAGCATGAATTGAATATTAATGTGAAAATTACCCATCCTAAGACTTTGTTACAGACTTTGTTACAAGTCTACAAGAATGCTAGAATGCAATAAGCTTATCTTGCTACTAGAATACAACTTTCACCTATGGCAAATTCATTAATGAATTCTGCCAGAAGAAATGCAGATCAAAGGAATAGTAGTAGAGCTTTGTTACCAACTCCCAGGTATGGTAACTCTACAAGCTCTAAGGGATTTAATAGGAGAACATTGAGTTTGGAAGAAATGAATAAAAAGAGATCCCAAGGTCTATGCTACTTCTGTAATGAGAAGTATAATTGGCCACAAATGCAAGAATCTGAAACAATTATACCTCCTTCAATTAGAGGAGTATGAAGGAGAGCAAATAACAACAGACAAAATGGTAGAGGAATTAGAATATCAAGGTTTGGAGTTAAGTCTGCCAAAAGAGCAGGCCGTTTACACAAAAGTCAAATTCTGGTCAACTCTTACTACTTAAGCCTCCAAAACTAAAATTCTTCTTCCAATTTGATTATCTGGTAACTGAACTCTACCATGCACACAAGTCACAATACATAATACGAAGATGCTCAAGACCTTACGCCGCCAAACGGGACTTAAATTCTCAAAATGACCGAACGGGTCATTACAAAGAGCATAAGAGAGGATGTAAAGCTCTTTGTTCAGAAGTGTGATGTCTGTCAAAGGAATAAATCTGACTTAGCTGCTTATTCTGGTCTCCTACAACGTCTTCCAAATCCAGAAGTGGTGTGGTCTCAAATCAGCATGGATTTCATTGATGGAATACCTAAATCAAAGGGGTATGAGGTGATACTAGTCGTAGTAGATAGGCTGAGTAAATATGGCCACTTTATACCGCTTAAACACCCTTATACGGCTCAATCTGTAGCAAGAGTGTTTATGGAAGTCATCTACAAACTTCATGGTTTACCAGATTCCATTGTGAGTGACAGGGACATAGTATTCTTAAGTTCCTTTTGGTAGGAACTCCTCTCAATACAAGGAGTCATATTACACACATCATCAGCTTACCACCCCCAAATGGCTAGACTAAGGTTCTAAATAGATGCCTAGAGACATATTTGAGATGCTTTTGTTCTAAGGAAGCTACGGACTGCATTCTTATATGTACATGGCTAAGTATTGGTACAATACTTCCTTTCATTCAGCCATAAGAACCACTCCTTATGAGAGCCTCTATGGAAGACCACCACCCCTGCACTTGCCTTATCTATCAGGTGAATTAGCTTCAGCTGATGTAGACGACACTCTGATAAACCAGAGAATTGAAGCTACAATTGTTGCAGCACCACTTTTTGAGAGCTCAGGTAAGAATGAAGCAGCATGTTGATTCTCATAGGAGTGATAGGAACTTTGAAGATGGGTATTGGGTTTATTTCAAGACTCGGCCTTATAGGTAGGTGAGCATCACTGCTCAACCATTCCATAAACTATTTGCTAAATACTATGGACCATTTCAGATTATCAGGAAGGTGGGAGTTGTGGTCTACACTTTACTATTTTCCCCATCCATTGTACATGTGTCCCTCCTAAAGAAATGCCATGAATTGCCAACACAAATCACTTACCCTCCCATTATCGATATTGCCAGTCCACATTGTACAAATCTTGAGGTTATCTTAGAAAGGAGAATGATCAAAAAGAGAAACAAAGTTGTGGCTCAAGTCAAGATTAAATGGACAAGTTTGCCTCCAAATTATGCTAC